AAAAAAAAAAAAAAAAAAAAAGTGAAGTAAATTTCATTTGGCAAGCCTGAGGCTCCCAGCAATGTTTGAAGTCCCCTTTCTGTTAAGGGGCACATCAGCTTGCCACACATGACCCGCTCCAAATGAGTGTTTAATCAAGTGTCCTACTCATCAAAGCCACAGACTCATGGTATCCTGTTGGGAGCCGGCCACGGAGGCCCACTGAGCGTTAGGGATCAGGGAGGGCCGTGGACCTCGAGACCGCTAGGACGTGTTCGAGAGCCGTAGACCCCATTTTCCTCCCCCTTTTGCCATGCAGCACAAGAACAACCTAAAGGAACTCTGCTGGCCTAAGCTGAAGACTCTGTGACTGTGACAGGCATAGCTGACTCTAGAAACCCATTGTTCCTGTTTCCCATAAACTGTGGTTTCGGCCTAGGTATTAGATATAATTCAAATTCAGGTCACATTTGGGAGCCTTTTATACGGTACAAGCTTCTTTATAAGATTTAAAGGAATATTTATAGAATTAGTATATACTTAGGGAGAGCTGTTTGCAGCTTTTCAATGGTGAAGATGATTTTCGAGAGTGGCCCAGCACAGAGTTTGGGCTGGGCCACATTCCTGAGAGCCCAGCATGTACTTTGGACTGGGCTGCATTCTTTTGGGCTGCATTCTTTTAGCTACAGTTAGTGTAAGGTCTATTTTCTACCTGTTATAGAAATTGAATTTATTTTATTCATAGAAGGTATTGTAGAATAGGTCATTCTACAAATCATGTTAGTTCATACATAATCAATCATAATATTTTAGGTTTAATAAGAATATAGTTAACTTTAAGAATTTTCATCGTCTCCACTTTCTACTATCGAAGTTTTTGCCTTAGTACATTTACAATTTACATTTATGTTTTAGAAGCTTTGCTGCTGCTAATCAACTTTATATATTAGAATTAAGAATTGGAAAACTTTCATAGAAATTAGGATAGACATATAAGACTTTGGAATAGCCATTTTGTTAAGAGATTGTAGTCTATTGTTCCAAAAGGTGGCCCACCATGGACCTTGGACTGGGCCACATCCTGTAGGGCCCAGTGTGATCTTTGGACTGGGCCACATTCTTTAGGAAATTGGCTTAAGCTATAATTAAGAGCTTCTGTAGCATTGTATAAGTGGTAGAGTTTAATTTAGTCGTCATGGGTATTGAGTGAGCTTTAGAAGTTATTGATTATCAGAACATCATTAGACTAGTAAGGATTGTTACACTGCTTTTGAAGAACATTAACTAGCAAAGGGAACAATGAGATAATCTCGGGGTTTGTTCCTCCTCACACCTAAGCATCTGGTGGGTGGGGGATGCCCCCCCCCGCACCTGGCTTTGTGTTCACGTGAAAGACTTGTGAGACTGCCTGTGTAAAATTTGAGGATAAATACCTGCTGTAACTTTCAATAAACGGCTTCTGCTCATTTCACTGAACAGTTGCCCACTTTCTTTCTTTCTCTTTCTTCCTCTTTATATCTATCCTTCCATCTTTCTTTCTTTTAATATCTATCCCTACAGATTCGCCGACGCCACCACATCTTCCAAGGGACTCCCCAAAACTTGCAGGGGCTGGCCCCCCGCAGTATCCTGAGGATGCACTACATACCTGAGGTCAGCTTGGATGTGGTCTGGTGTTAGTGGCTGGGACTGGGTCTGGTCTGGGCCATGGTCCAATACCAAGGACAACCTCAAATAACCATTGGTATGATGGGCTGTATAGTGAGGTGACTAGGCATATGGGCTTTGAAATTGGACATTACCTGAGATGATGAAAGCCCTCTGGCCCATTCCTAGTGTGTGACTCTGGGCAAGAGACCAAGTGGCCTCGTCATCAAATGGGGATGGGACTTGTGATTCCATGAGATTGTCATGTACAGCAATTAGCCTGGGTTTGGGCATTTAGCAAATGCTCATCATACTTATCACATTTTCCTTTATTAGTATTTAATTTAAAAACAATTTTAATTGTAAAATGTATCATTCATGCAGGTAATTATGAAAGACATATCCATACATTCTTGAAGAATCATAATCAGGTAAACACCTCTGTAACTGACAAAGGTTATCTAATGGAAAAGTGCCAGGACCAGAGAAACCCTGTGTGCTCCTCCCTGTTCCTCCCTGAGGTCAGAGAGCTCCTTGGTTGACTTTACTACTTTGCCACTTAAGTTTAAGTATGCCTTTTCAATCATGAATTGTTTAATTTTCCTGTTGGTTGTTGAGCTCCCTACAAATGAAATCACAGCACATGTTGTGTGGTTTGCTTCTTTCCCTCAATGTTGTTTGTGCTTTCCATCCCTGGTTACTACACCACTGTGGAGTCATTCATGTCATCAGTGTACTGCAATGATCATTTGCGTTATTCCAGGTTTTGGGCCGTTACTAACAGGGCCACTTTGAATACTTTTGACAGATCTTTGTGCAAAGCTTTCCCTTCTGTTGGTTTTAAGCTCTAACTTCACCAGATATCGTCAAGTGGTTTCACAATCACATATAAAATCTTATAAAAACAGCCACAATGCTTAGCATTGCCTATTGAAAAC